AGGTAGCACTAGAGAAGGAGACCATGGTAACAGGTAGCACTAGAGAAGGAGACCATGGTAACAGGTAACAAAAAAAAAAAAAAAAAAAAAACAGGTAGCACTAAGAAGGAGACCATGGTAACAGGTAGCACTAGAGAAGGAGACCATGGTAACAGGTAGCACTAGAGAAGGAGACCATGGTAACAGGTAGCACTAGAGAAGGAGACCATGGTAACAGGTAGCACTAGAGAAGGAGACCATGGTAACAGGTAGCACTAGAGAAGGAGACCATGGTAACAGGTAGCACTAGAGAAGGAGACCATGGTAACAGGTAGCACTAGAGAAGGAGACCATGGTAACAGGTAGCACTAGAGAAGGAGACCATGGTAACAGGTAGTACTAGAGAAGCTGGCGAGAAAGGAACCACTTCAGATCTTTAGGTAGTGAGATAGTAAAATCAGCACAACGTGATGATTAAACAGACGTGTGGCCAGGAAAGGATGAGAATCGGAGATGACACCTGGCAACTCAGACTGCTGGGTGGCTGGTGAAACTGTTCACTGAGGCTGGAAAACATGAAGGGAAGGGGGTCTAGGGGAAGATAATGTACTCAGACTTAGACATGTTACCCCAGAGACACCTGTGCAACAGCCAAGTGGAAATCAGGAGAAAGGAGGCTGGAGACGGAGTCCTGAGAAGGAATAATATACAGATGCCCCTTGAAGTAATGGGAGTAGATAAGATCACGCAGCAGCAAAGGTAAAGGGAGAAAAGAAAAACTTCCGGCTCCAGACACCTGTGGAGGTCAAACACTGAAATACGACCAAATCGACCAAATCGTTTTAAACTTTATGTAGCATTTCCTTTGTGTTTACAGGTAGATACAAAGCTGACTTATCTACAGTACATTCCATGCAAAGCCTATCAGTTTGAGGCCGAGCACAGAACATTTATGAAGTAAACAAAGCTTGACTTCCTTCCTTATCATGGCCTTGGGTATGGCAGTCTAGAAACCAACTTATTAAATCACTCTGCTAAGTGCTTACTAATGCGGGATTAATTTTCTACCCATCAAATAGGAATCAAATCAGTCTACAACTAAGCGTAAAATGTAAACCCAAAAATACGATTCACATTTTTAAAGAGGTCTGTAATTATCCATATAAAATAGAGCTTGTATCTGCTAAAACAGTGCTTTTGAAAAGTATATAAATTACCACTTCATGTAGTGCCTAACTGCTTATTTTGCTCAGCAATTAATTCATTCAACTAGAAATGTATATATTATAAATCAAATTAAATCCTGAAAAGGTAAAATAATACTTGGTGAATTACTTGAAATTGACTTACTTGCTATCACCATTGCTGCCATTTTTGTTTGGAAAATGCTTTTTTATAAGAAAATTTAGCCTGCTCCTCCTCTCCGATCTTGGAATCATGTGTGATGTTCTGTTTATGCCAATAGAGAAAAAAGACTGGACCTCCTTCTATTAAATTATATGATAGACACCTCATAACAAGGTAGAGACAGGAATATAAAGCCACTGATGACAAAAACATTTTGACCAGTAACAGAAACAGTACTGTACACAGAAGTAAATACATATGTCGATGTGTACACTATATATGATGCACAGACCAATAGTTTGGTATATATCCTCCATCCATAAAATAGACACATTTGGATTATCTCTGAAAAACAGAAGTAGAAGTGCGGGAAGGAAGCTGGAGAAAGACTTTTATGTTTTACTCTGTATGAGTCTATACGATGTTTTTATAGGAAAACATATTCTTGTATTGCTTATGTTTGAAAATGAAATGTGCACCGGATGTGGTGGGCTCATGCCTCTAATTCCAGCACTTTGGGAGGCCAAGGCTGGTAGATTGCCTGAGCTCAGGAGCTCGAGACCAGCCTGGTCAACATGGTGAAATCCCATCTCTACTAAAATACAAAAAAATTAGCTGGGCGTGGTGGCACACGCCTGTAGTCCCAGCTACTTGGGGAGGCTGAAGCACCAGAATTGCTTGAACCTGGGAGGTGGAGGTTGCAGGGAGTTGAGACGGCGCCACTGCACTCCAGCCTGGGCAAGAGTAAGACTCCGTCTCAAAAAAAAAAAAAAGAAAAACGAAAAAGAAAAAGAAAAAAGAAAGAAATGTGAATACCAATAGCACTGACACCATCCTGTGGGCACAAGGCACATGTTACACCCTGCAGTACCCCAATAGCCTCTCTCAGACAACTTGATGGCATGGTCCCACACATCAAATGCTAAGCTAGTGAACCAAAATCACGTCCCCCTGGGGAATACATATTATGGATTTTATACTACAGATTTACATCCTCTGTATCAATTTCCACTCCAAGTGCTTTTGCGTTCTGTTCATTACTGTTCACAGTTCAGTCTGGCATTTAATTTTGCGCAGCTTTGTGGGTATCCACAATAATTACAATGTTTAATGCTGTATTTTAAGGTTGGGATAAACACAGCAGTTTAAATGCATATGTTCTGTCCAATCTTTAACTCCCCCTCCACACACATACAAATACATACTCTAGCTGTTATTATATATATCCTTCATCTTACTAGCTGTTTTCCCGTTACCTTCCACAGTATATCTGACAGTGACATTATTATTGATGCTCCAGTAAACAGCCAATATATGTAGTAAAAACACATGCACTACAATACATCAAAATGACATACCCACCCACCAAACTCCTGCTACTCATTCTAATCAGATAATGGCTTTTCTCCTCCTTGAGTGTACTACAAAAGGATGAAGTGGCACTAGAGGAAAAATACTCATAAAACAGGGGAAAAAAATGTTTTATTAAGTAAACTGTTTATTAAATGTTTTATTAATAAACTGCTTAGGTCATTGAGATTAGAAAGCAAGTTTGCCTAGATTTGTGTCAAATAATAGGATAATTTGTCGCTTCTCTATGTACTCTGTTTAATCTGAAGTTCCTAGAAACAAATAGCTGAGCTTCACATGAATAAAACAACCAGAACATCACCATAAAACAACTTTTCTGGAACGAACACTGTATAAAAAGCAGTATTAATGTTTCACTTTTTGCTTTTAGTTACTTCTTGTTGGTAACAATCTTACATAAATCAGGGATCTTTCTAGCTTCGACAAAACTTTTGTATAAAAAATTAGGTGGAAATAATACAGTCATTTTGAAATTTCTTATCCTATTTTAATTAGAAAGTATTATACTGGCTGGGCATGGTGGCCGACACCTGTAATCCCAGCACTGTGGGAGGCCAAAGCAGGAGGATCACTAGAGCTCAGGAGTTTAACATCAGCCTGGGCAAACAGTGAGATCTCGTCCCCATTAAAAAACATTTTTTAATTAGCTGGCCATGGTGGCATGTACCTGTAGTCCCAGTTGCTCAGGAGACAGAGGCAGGGAGATCGCTTGAACCCAGGATTTCAAGACTGCAGTGAACTTGATAATACCACTGCACTCCAGTCCAAGAGACAAAGCAAGACTGTCTCCAAAAAAAAAAAAAAACCCAAAAGCCAAGAAACAAAAGAATAATACAATATATAATGGAAAACTAGACCTAATCATAATGTTGGAGCAAGAACAGAATTTAGGTTTAAAAGAGCAGTTAAAAGTCTGAATACCTGAGTTTCATTTCTGAAACTTCAGAGCCTACTAGTTATAGAATATTTGGCAAGTTGGCTGCCTCTTTGTCCTCATTTTCCTTATTAATAAAATGAGCATAATAATAGTACCTAATTCTCACAAGAGTCTTGGAAAACCAAATGGAATAATACAGTGCCTGGCACACAGTAGATGCCTAATAAATATTAACTGTTATTGTCAGTACAGATTCAGAAACTGAGGCCCACACAGTTTGTATTTTCCCTGAGATAATTTAACCAGCAAATGCCAGAATTAGCATGAGAACCTGGAACCCCTGATATTTTTGTACATTTGATTTCTTTTCCATTAAGACCACTTTTTGTGTAGTCTCAAGAAATTACTTTCAAAGGAGAAAATGAGAGAGAAGAAAATCCCTGAGACAAGCATGGCCTCAATTTAAAAGAAGGAAAGAAGAAATTCTGGAGGTGTGCATATACAAAACACAAGAAACAAAAAGGATGAGTGGAGGGTGGCGGGGAGGAGGCAAGTGACACAGACATAAAACCTCTAATTAGACTTTTTAATAAGATGTAACTCATTAGGACATAATTACATTTCTTATTAAATGATTAATCATAAGGTTAGAAGAAAAGGTCATGTTGAATGTTAATTATACATCCTTTCAAGAATTTCAAAGATGTTAACAACAGTACTCATGAATTAACTCAAACTCTTGGCAGGAAATTTGGCATTATCTTTAAAAATTCAAAAGGCATATATCCTTTCAACAATTGATACAATAAGAAGAATTTATCCTACTGTTAATTTGGGGAAGTGTGCAAAAATATGCAAGACAGGATGTGAAGTGCATTACTGGCAATACCAAATATTATAAAAGTTCTAAGTATTCATCAGCAAAGAAATTGTTATTATGGTCAATTCATACAATGAAACATATGGGATACAAAATGTTCCTCAAAGTAGACTGATAAATGAAAAAAAAAAAAATCAAAGTACACAAGAATACGTGTACTTTATATATACAAACGTATATTTGTTTTTTTAAACATAGGATATAGATATACAAACATGTCTGCACAAGCAAATGCTACAAAGACACATGAGAAACTTAACAGTGGAAATGAGAATTGAAGTCAGGGGGCAATAAGATGGGGAGGAATAGACATTTACTTTCACATAGTAGACATATACACACACACCCAATTTTTCATCATATATATTTAATATTAGTTTTAACATTTTAATGTCCCTGGCGACCTGTGTGACTCAGCAGGTGAATAACAAGTAAAAGTAAGTTAAAGGCTGTAAAGAAGTAGACACAGGCAACAGGTATAGTGAAGGACAAATTTAAGAGTAAATAATTTGAAAGCCTCACTTATATATGGCTGAAAAGTCTTACCTGACACTTAGCACTACAGTATTTGGCGACGCGGCACTGAGAGCATCGCATCAGCTTTTCCTTCCTGTGGGGAAAAAAAAAATTCTGCGTTAAGAAATGAGTGGGAAACATACTACCTAGTTGAAGAAAGAAAACATAAGCCAACATACGGACACCAGTATGTTCTGTTTACTCCACTATGCTCAGTCCCTTAAGATTTGGATTTTCACACTGATGAGCCGGCCTCCTCTTGAACCTTCCATGTGAGACACTGACAGAAAACTAAGTCCTTTGGTCTCACAGAAGATGGCAGGGAAGAGGCAGGACTAGCTTGCGGCTCCCGATCACAGACTGAGCAGCGTGTGGGGACTCACACTGTGAATTTCTGATCCAAGAACCACCACAGCAACGTACCAGGTAAACTAAGAGAATCCACAGACCCTTTGACGGAACTGTATCGCCACCGCAGGCTCCCTGAGACTCTGAAAAGATGTGAGCCGCTTGCTTGCTCAGCAGGGAGGCTGGTGGTCTGGGGCAAGTTCCCAGTCACAGTCACCAGCTGCCTGGAAACAGACTCCGTGCTGCTGTGGGGACACGGTGGGAGTGAGACCAGCCTTCAGGACTGCGGGCTGCATGGGAGCGGGATGAGGCCTGTGACTGCTGGCTTTCCCCCACTTTCCTGGCGGCCTGTGTGACCCAGCAGAAGCAGCCATAATCCCCCAGGGAACATAACTCCGTTAGACTGAAAACCACATCGCCGTCCCAACAGCAGCCGCAGCAATCCCCGCCCAGGGAGAATCTGAGCTCAGACACCCTATCCCTGCCCCCGGTGGTCTTTCTCTACCAGCCCTGGCTGCCAAAGACAAAGGCCATGATCTCTTGGGAGCTCTATGGCCCTGCCCACCACCTAAGAAACCTGAATACGTAACGGGGCAACCTTAGGGCAAGTTTGCTTCCTCCCTACAGGACCACAGCTGATGTGTTCCTGAAGGCACCAACCCCCGGCTGGAGGCCAACCAACACAAAACCAGCCCACTGAACAAAAACACAACCAAGGACCCTGTAGAGTCCACTTCTCGCCCCTGCGCCCTCCATTACATCCCAGGACTCTCAGCAGTCACTTCTCGCCCCTGCGCCCTCCATTACATCCCAGGACTCTCAGCAGTCACTTCTCGCCCCTGCGCCCTCCATTACATCCCAGGACTCTCAGCAGTCACTTCTCGCCCCTGCGCCCTCCATTACATCCCAGGACTCTCAGCAGTCACTTCTCGCCCCTGCGCCCTCCATTACATCCCAGGACTCTCAGCAGTCACTTCTCGCCCCTGCGCCCTCCATTACATCCCAGGACTCTCAGCAGTCACTCCCCAGCACCAGCCCAGAGCCCAGCAGCTCCACTGGGTGGCTGGACCCAGAAGAGAAAAACAATCACTGCAGTTCGGCTCTTGGGAAGCTCCATCCCTAAGGGAGGAGGGAGAACACCACATCAAGGGAGAACCCCTTGAAACAAAGGTATCTGAACAGCAGCCCTTGAGTCCCAGATCTCTCCTCTGACATAGTCCACCCAAATGAAAAGGAACCAGAAAAACGATCTGGTAATATGACAAAACAAGGCTCTTTAACAACCCCCCAAAAGATCACACCAGCTCACCAGCAACGGATCCAAACCAAGATAAAATATCCGGATTGCCAGAAAAAGAATTCAGAAGGTTAATTATTAAGCTAATAAAGGAGGCACCAGAGAAAGGTGAACTCCAACTTAAAGAAATCAAAAACTTATACAGAATATGAAAGGAAAATTCTTCAGTGAAATAGCATAAATAAAAAACGATCACAACTTCTATAAACCAAAGAAACACTTACAGAAATGCAAAATGCACTGCAAAGTCTCAGCAATAGAATTGAAAAAGCAGAAGAAAGAACTTCAGAGCTTGAAGACTGGCTTTCGAGTGAACCCAATCCATCAAAGACAAAGAAAAAAGAATTTTTAAAAATGAGCAAAGCAAGAAGTTTGGGATGATGTTAAGCAAGCAAATCTAAGAATAATGGGTGTTCCCAAGGAAAAAAAAGAAACCTAAAAGTTTGGAAACACTATTTGAGGAAATAATCAAGGAAAACTTGTCTGGCCTTGCTAGAGATCTAGACATCCAAATACAAGAAGCTCAAATACCTGAGAAACTCATCACTTAGGCACACAGTCAAGAGGTTATCCAAAGCAAAGACAAAGGAAAGAATCTTAAGAGCTGTGAGGCAAAAGCATCAGGTAACCTATAACAGAAAACCTATCAGAGCAACAGCAGATTTCTGAGCAGAAACTGTCAGAGGCATGTGAACCAGGGCAACTCCATCTTGAAGTTCAAAAGGCATATGGTGGCACACAGTGAGTAAAATGAGGCTGAGGCTTACTGGGCTGCATTCCCAGACCGTTAAGGCATTCTAAGTCACAGGATGAGACTCAAGTTGGCACACGATACAGGTCATAAACACCTTGCTGATCAAACAGGTTGCAGTAAAGAAGCCAGCTAAAACTCACCAAAACCCAAAGTGACCAGAGGTCACTGGTCGTCCTCACTGCTATGCTCCCATGAGTGCCATGACAGTCTACAAATGCCATGGCAACATCAGGAAGTTACCCTATATGGTCTAAAAAGGGGAGGCATGAATAATACACCCCTTGTTTAGCATATCAAGAAATAACCATAAAAATGAGCAACCAGCAGTCCTCGGGGCTGCTCTGTCTATGGAGTAGCCATTCTTTTGTTCCTTTACTTTCCTAATAAACTTGCTTTCACTTTACTCTGTGGACTCACCCAGAATTATTTCTTGTGTGAGGTCTATGAACCCCCTCTGTAACAGAACCCTATAAGCTAGAAGGGATTGGGGTCCTATTTTTCACCTCCGTAAACAAAACAATTATCAGCCAAGAATTTTGTATCCAGCCAAACTAAGCTTCATAAATGAAGCAAGATACAGTCTTTTAAGACAAATACTGAGAGAATTCACCACTACCAAGCCAGCACTACAAGAACTGTCAAAAGGAGCTCTAAATCTTGAAACCAATCCTCGAAATACACCAAAATAGAACCTCCTTAAAGCAGAAATTTCACAGGACCTATATAACAATAACACAATAAAAAAAAAAAACATACAAGGTAGTCAGACAACAGACAGCACAATGAATAGAATAATACCTCACATCTCAGTACTAACGAACAGCACCATGAATAGAATAGTACCTCATGTCTCAGTACTAACGCTGAATGTAAATGACCTAAATACTCCACTTAAAAGATATGGAATGGCAGAATGGATAAGAATTCACCAACTAAATTTCTGCTGTCTTCAGGAGACTCACCTAACACATAAAGACTCACACATAAACTTAAAGTAAAGGGGTGGAAAATGACATTCCATGCAAATGGACACCAAAAGTGAGCAGGAGTAGCTATTCTTACAGACAAAACAGACTTTAAAGCAAGAGCAGTTAAACAAAACAAAGAGGGACATTATATAACAATAAAAGGACTAGTCCAACAGTAAAATATCACAATCCAAAATATATATACACCTAACACTGGAGCTCCCAAATTTATAAAACAATCACTAATAGACCTAAGAAATGAGATACATGGCAACACAATAATAGTGGGGAACTTCAATACTCCACTGACAGCACTAGACAGGTCATCAAGACAGAAAGTCAACAAAGAAACAATGGACTTAAACTATACCCTACGACAAATGGACTTCACAGATATTTACAGAACATTCTACTCAACAACTGCAGAATATACATTCTATTCATCAGCACATGGAAAATTCTCCAAGATGGAACATATGATAGGGCACAAAACAAGTCTCAGTAAATTTAAGAAAATCAAAATTATATCAAGTACTCTCTCAGACCACAGTGGAATAAAATTGGAAATTAACTCCAAAAGGAACCCTCAAAATCATGCAAATATATGGAAATTAAATAACCTGCTCCTGGATGATTGTTGGGTCAACAATTAAATCAAGATGGAAATTTAAAAAGTCTTTGAACTGAACAATAACAGTGACACAACTTATCAAAACCTCCGGGATATAGCAAAAGCTGTGCTAAGAGGAAAGTTCAGAACATTAAATGCCTACATTGAAAAGTCTGAAAAAGCACAAACAGACAATCTAAAGCCACACCTCACAAAACTGGAGAAACAAGAACAATCTAAACCCAAATGCAGCAGAAGAAAAGAAATAACAAAGATCAGAACAGAACTAAATGAAATTGAAACAGACAAAAAAAAAATGCAAAAGATAAATGAAACAAAAGGCTGGTTTTGAAAAGATAAATAAAACTGATAGACCATTAGCAAGATTAACCAAGAAAAGAAGAGAGAAGATCCAAATAAGCTCAATTAGAAATGAAATGGGAAATATTACTACTGATACCACAGAAATACAAAAGTTTATTCAAGGCTACTATGAACACCTTTACACGCCTAAACTAGAAAACCTAGAGGGGATGGATAAATTCCTGGAAATACACAACCCTCCTAAATTAAACCAGGAAGACATAGAAACTCCGAACAGACCAATAACAAGCAGCAAGACTGAAATGGTAATTATTTTTAAATTGCCCATAAGTAAAAGTCTAGGACCGTAAGGATTCACAGCTGAATTCTGTCAGACATTCAAAGAGGAACCAGCACCAATCCTATTGACACTATTCCAGAGGACAGAGAAAAAGGGAATCCTCCTTAAATCATTCTATGACGCTAGTATCACCCTAGTACAAAAACCAGGAAAGGACCTAACAAAAAATTAAAACTACAGACCAATATTCCTGATGACACAGATGCAAAATTCCTCAACAAAATACTAGCTAACTGAATCCAGCATCACATCAAAAAGATAATTCATCATGATCAAGTGGGTTTCATACCAGGGATGCATGGATGGTTTAACATCCACAACTCAATAAATGTGATACGCCACATAAACAGAATTAAAACCAAGAATCACGTTATCATCTCAACAGATGCAGAAAAAGCATTTGACAAAATCCAGCATCGCTTTATGGTTAAAACCCTCAGCAAAATGGGCATA